CTCAGAGATCCTGAGAACTACCTAATATCCTTCAATAAACTCATTTTCTTCTTAAACTAGTAGGAATGTTGAAGCAGCCTAGATGATATTATGCTAAACAATCCAAAATCTTAGTGGTTTACTTTTCACTTATATTTCATGGCCAGTGCAAGTGGGCTACAGTTGTGTAACACACAGTCTTCCAACTCAGACTCAGGTCAACCTGTCTCTGGGGCACTGCTGGCCTCACAGGGAATGGAAAAAGAGAAGTAGCAAACCATACTGGCCCTTACACTTTTGCTGGTAAGTGACGCACATCAGTTTTTGTTCACATTCAATTGGTCAAAGCAATTCACTTGATCAAGCGTATCAGTGGGGCAATGCTATAAGAATCCAACACGGGTGGGGTTAGGACATGCTTACTATGCATGAGGCCCTGGATTCAATCCCCAGCACACACACAAAAGCAACAACCAAAACTACTTTGAACAAAAGGGGTTCTGTTGTATACAATTAAGAGCACTGCCTAATACAATGCAATAGTAAGATGACAGCAGAACGTTCAGCCTGTGGATCATCTCACATTCAAGTCCAGGTTGAACAAGAAAATGCCTCTTCTCAGGAATTCATGCAAAAGCTCAAGGATTCGCTATAATTGGAACCGACTGACCTGGCTTGAGTCACCCCCCAATACTGACAAATTTATTCTAGATGTATTTACTAAGAATTTAGTATATGCTAGTAATAACTATTTGGGCTCTATGGAGTATAGCAGCAAACAAAACCAAACCCATGCCCTCATAGAGCTTTCATTCTAGCTGAGGATGGAGAAAGACAATCAACAAAATAAGTAAACATCTAAAAATTTAGTTGGTGCTATGTGCTACAAAGAAAAATAAGCAGGAAAAGGAGATACTGAGTTTCTAGAGTGAATGGAAAGGAATAATAGCAATTTTAAAGGAAATCAGGAGGGCTAGGGTTGTGGCTCAGTGGTAGAGTGCTCGACTTGCATGTGTGAGGCATTAGGTTCAATCTTCAGCACCACACAGAAATAAATAAATAAATGTACTGTGTCCATCTACAACTAAAAAAAAAAAAAAAGAACTAAAATGGAATCAGGAAAGGACCCACTGAAAAATTATTTGGGTAAATACTTGAATGAGGTGAGAAGACAAACAATGGGGTGATCTAAGGGAAGAATATTCAAGGCTCGGTAAACAGTAGGTATAAAGGCCCAGAAGCAGGAGAGGCCTAGTTTATTTTAAGAACAACAAGCAGGCAAGGGTGGCTGGAATGGAATAAAAGAAAAGGCAGAGTAATAGGATATATAATCAGAATGATAATGGGTGAGGAGTTCAGGTCAGGTAGGGCCCTGAAGGTCACTGTAAGGCTTGGCTTTCATTCTAGTTAAGGTAGAGAGCCAGTGAAGGGTTTTTGCACAAAGGATTGACAAGATTTTACTCAGATTTTAAAAGGACTCTCTGGCTACTATGTGAATTGTCTGTAGGAAGAAAAGCACAGAGGCTGGGCAGCCAGGATATGGGACTATTGGCAATGATCCAGGAAAAATGTGATAGTGGCTTTGATTAGATGATAGCAAGGGAGACTGTAGAAAGCCATTACATTCTAGATGGATTTGGAAGATGGAGCCAATATGATTTGCTAGTGAGAGTACATCTGGGTTATGAGAAAAAGAGAAGAATCTAGTATGATTCTAATGTTTAGGTGTAAATAACTAGAAAGGTGAAGTTACCATTATCTGAGATAAGGCAGTCTGAAAGAGGAGCAGGTTTAGAGAGTAGAGATAAGGAGTTTAGATGCAGACATAATGGGTTTAAGATTCCTATTAGACATCTAAATGGAGATGTTGAATATGCAGTTTTGGAGAAAAGTCTGGACTAGAGATATACATTTGGAATAAATAGATGGTATTTAAAGCCATTAGATTGAATGAGGTCATTGGGGGTTAATAATGAAGTTTAAGGAAAATAGCTATGTTCAAAGGACAAAGAGATAAAAGTGTTTTAAAAACAAGGGTGATTGACTGAAATGCTGCTAATAGTCTGGGATGGTGATGCATACCTATAATCCCAGCTATTCAGAAGATTGAAGCAGGAGGATCACAAATTGGAGGCCAGCCTCAGCAACTTAGCTAGACCCCGTCTCAAAAAATAAAACAGGCTGGGGATATAGCTCAGTGGTGGATATAGCTCAGTACTGGTCTCAATATCCAGTATCACACACACAAAAAAAAGAAAAGAAATTTTACTAGTAGATCAAATAAGATGATGAAAGAGGACTATTCTGTGTAGCAATTTGGAAGTCCCTGGTGATATGGACTAGAGGAATGGTACAAGCAAGTGCCAGTGCAGGGAACAGAACTGAAAAGAGCACCAAAAACAAGCAGCAGATTTTTCCTATAAAAGAGAGCAGAAAAATAGAAATAGCTAGAGGAGAAATGGGATTAAGAGATTACTTGTTGGCTGGGGTTGTGGCTCCATGGTAGAGCACTTGCCTAGCATGTGTGAAGCACTGGGTTTGATCCTCAGCACCATGTATAAATAAATAAATAAAGGTCCATCAATAACTAATAAAAATATTAAAAAAAAAAGAGATTAGGTCTGTGTGCCAGTGATCCAATATGGGGTGTGGGGAGGGGGGTTTATATAGAAGAGTAGGAAATTTTTGTAGTGAGTTCCTAGAGTATGCAAGAGCAGGTGGGCCAGAGCAGGCACTAGAAATGCAAATTTAGAACAGGGTTTCTCAACTGGGTGCTGCTGACATTTGAGGCCAGGTAATTCTTTGTTGTGGGGAACTCTTCTGTGCATTGCAGGATATAAAGTAGTGTCCTTTGTTTTTATCCACTAGAAGCCAATAGCACCCCCTCCAAGTCACAATAAACAAAAATATCTCCAGACATTGCCAAATAGCCCCCACAAGATTTTGCTCCCTCCAGCAGACATTTTGGGTTGTCACAACTGGGTATTCATATGTGGGTGCCACAGGTATTTACTGACTGGAGGCCAAGGATGCTGCAAAACATCCTATCATATACAGGATGGCCCACACAAGGGGGTTACGCAGTCACAACCCACAGAGCTGTGATAGAGACACCCTGAACTAAAGGAATAAGAGAAGTATGAAGCCACAGATACTGACAGGTGGGTTTCTGTGGACGTTCTCTTCTGATTGCTTTCATTTTTATTTTATCCACTGAAATAGAAAGCATGGTAATAAGCTATAACCCAGATTGGGAGAGGAGGTACAGGAGGTTGAGGAAGAAAAGATATGAAACTATACTGTAGGAGGTAAAAAATAAATGGCCACGAGAAGTGATCATGAAACTGGGCTGCAGAGCTCACCTGAGGCAAGTAGTGGTGAATTTGATGTGAAACCAGTCGGCCCGGATGTGGGTTTTTCTTGACCCATATCCAGAAGCACAGAAAGGAGAGTTTCATTTAACAGATTGTGGTTTTGCCAGCAAGTATAAGGAAGCAATGAGGGGGCAAACAAGTGTGTGATAAAAATGACCACAGAATTTGAGCCAAGTAAGAAGACAGAGGGAGAGATATATGAAGAAGAGAAGTATGAAGCCATAGACACAGACATTCTGTGGACATTCTCTTCTGATTGCTTCCATTTTTACTATCCACTGAAATAGAAAGCATGGTAATAAGCTGTAACCCAGGTTGGGAGGGGAGGTACAGGAGGTTGAAGGAGACTGTGAAAAGGTAGGTGGCAAAAACCAACAAATATTAGACTGGGGATGTAGCTCAGTGGTAGAGTGCTTGTCTAGCATGCAGTAGGCCCCAGTTTCCATCCCCTGCAAAACACACACACACACTCAAAATGTCTATCACAATAGGATAGTTTCAAGGTATTTTGAATATATTGAGCTGAAAAGAAAGTGAGCTCTGCCAGAGTAAGGTAATGACTGACTTTCCCTAATAAATACTCAATACTCACTGAAGGCCTGAGTACAACAGTTTCTAAATGATATCAGGTAAAGTAGGCTTCTTAACTAAATTCAATGTTTGGGACCACAGTTTCTTTGGTCAAGTTACCTCTATCAGTGAAGCCAAAAACTGGTGAAACAACACTAAACACCTGAGAAATCAGTGAACTCAAAGTCTGAAGTGGCTTCTGGTCTTCATGTATTAGTTTGCTCATGTATTTTTCTTATACTTGTTCAAATGCACGAGGGTATATCTGGGTGTGTCAGGCCTCACAAATCTGACTAAACAGACAGAAGTGCAAGGCAAAGCTGGCCATCTGAAGCATTATTCCTCTCAACGGTTTCAAGGTAAAAGTCATCAATAGTTGTTTCTAACAGACTTATGGTTCCTACTTTTGAGGATTTTGTTTAAAAATTACAAAACAAAAAAACAAACGGTATCCACTTCCTCACTAGCATGCATACAAAATAAATGCCACTCTTAGGGCAATAAACATGTAGTCTTTATAGGCTTGGGCCTTGCACAATCAGATATCAGTAGGCTTAATATAAACCAAGGCCTGCTACTCACCAGCTGAAAGGTAACAGGCAAGGCATTCCAACTCAACATAACTTCTTCATTGAAAAATGGTGATAGTAATACTTACCATGGTTACCTCATAGGGCTCCTGCCAGGAATGTATGTGAAAGTGCTTTGTAAGCCATATTGTACTTTCCTAATAATAGACATTGTCACTACACTTCAGAGGGGCAGGAAGAATGGAACTAAAGTCTCCCTTCTGGCCATAATGGAGAAAAGAAACAAAAGGGTTTGTTGTTGTTGTTTTGCTTTTTACTAAAGGCAGAAACCTGTGTTGAATGCATTAGAGGGGCAGCTTCTTTTCTACATGGATTTTAAGTATGGGAATTTGGTCAAAGCTTGCAGTTGGCAAACAGAAAGCTGAAGGGAGAGCAAAGCATTCCCTGGAGATACAAACCAACACAAAACTAGTGGGTACAATTTTAGGGCCAATTCTTGGCAACCTTGTTTTGGACTGATAGGGGCTTGGAAACAGGACATACTTACGGAGTTCCCCAGCAGTCATTACAGCTCATTAACTAGCAGGAAACATGGAGCTTTTATGAATTCATTCTCCAGTTAGTGGCTGGCCACTCATGGTCATCTCAAGGCTCACACTCTAGGCAACAAGTACTCAAGAGGCCTCCTGAAATATATCAACAAAAAGGAAGACTGTAAGGAGACCCTGTAAAGAATATTACAGGAAACTGAGGACACAGGAAAACTGGGTACTAGATAAACCAGGCACTAGCTGCAAGCTTGCCTCTAATTAGTTCTATGGGGGAAAAAATTCATAGGGCAAATAACTGCCTCCATTCTTCTACATGGTAAATGGGGATAATATTTAGAGCCAGAGGGGAAAGTAGCAGTATTGCACAGAGGAAAAGATTGAGACTTGGAAGGTGAATTGGCTAGCTCAAGAGTATACAGCTAGTGAGTGGCTACAAACAAAACTAAAATCCAGATCATGACCCCCACGTAGTGTTCATTCCACCCACCTGGATCTTCCACGGGCTTTCTCAGGAAAACAGGAGTTGGTTGAAGGGAATTGCTTTCCTATCAGTATCATTTCTTCATCATCCTGCCAGCCTCCGAGGAAGACGCCAGGGAAAAGAACACCTGCCACCTACAGCTCAAATCCACCAGGGTGCTGAAGATGCGCTCCTCCCCGCAACCACGGTGTTTTTTAGTGGGTTTTCAGGGCTGCAGGTGGTGAGCAATCCTATGATGGCGGTGAAGATCCACCCAGAAGCCCTGGAGAAGGCAAAATGACACTAACAATGAAAAGCAAGAAGTGAGACCATGTGGGAAACCATGTGGGAGTCCTTTGAGGCGAAGGATCGCAGCATCTTACTGGGACCATAGTTCTAGAAACACAGCTGTAGGGTCAGGAACTGCCATCTGCAATCCCACAAGGCCCCCACGCTGGATTCAATGCTTTACTGTCAAGGTTTGAAAATCTTCCTAACTTATAAAAACGGGACCTGGCATTTTCATCTTACAATGGGCACCTGAAATCATGCTTCAGGTGGCCTGTCGACACCAGCGCCACCCCTGACCCTAACCCAAAGGGACCGAAGGCAAGGCTTTTGGTTTTCATCCCCTCTGCGGCTTCGAAAAGGGAGGAATGCTGGGATAAGGTTAGAGGAGAGTAACAGGCCCGTACCCTCGGGCAAGGAGCCCACTAACTAACCAGTGGCCTTTTTCAACCCAGGCACAATAGACGCCGTCATAAAAATGGCGCCCCACCTCCGAGCCCCGCGCTGCCAACTCTTTAGCTCCTGTCCTCCCTGCTCCTGCCTCAGTGTCTCCAAAGCTGCCGGAAGCGGCAACAATGTGACTTCTGACGGGGCAAGTCAGTCGGGTCACCCAGGCTCAGTTTGCCTGTGGGGGAAAATGGGAAAGTACCGGTACTTCACGAGTTCTGCGAAGCTGCCAGAAGGAGCAGAGCCCCAGCAGGGCGCACTTCTGCCCGTCGGACCACCTTGCCGACGCTTCGGCTGAGGGAAAGTTTGGGGACAGGTAATTAGGGGGCCAGCATTCTCGGCGAGGAAGGGACCGAGTCCCGGCTTAGCCCTGGTTACAAGCGGCCGAAAGTCTGAGGTGCTGAGCGGCTGAAGCAGCTCAAATTCCGAAGCTGCCGGCGAGGATCCAGAAGCTAATCTTGTGCCTCGGGGGGCAGGGCGGAACCACGGCGGAGGGGCGGGGTTCCGGGGGGGGGTGGGGGAGGCGCTGGGTTTAATGTGACTATGAATAGACAACTAACGCCCTAGGCCTACGCGGAGGTTCCATAGTGTAGTGGTTATCACGTCTGCTTTACACGCAGAAGGTCCTGGGTTCGAGCCCCAGTGGAACCATAACTAATAGGAAGTTCTTGATTTTTTATATCCATTGAGCCTTCTGGCTAAAAAAACAAAACAAAATAACTAACATCCACTAAAAAAAAGAAAAGTGTTTCTCCATATCCTTTATTCGTTTAAAATTTTTTTGACATTCTTTCATCACAGAAACGAAATGACAACCTCTCAAATTCCTCAAGATCGCGGCTGCAGTTGCCAGACTCGCGAAATAGCCGAGGGTGAAGGCGGCGCGGAGCCCTGCTCTCTGCTGGACCCTATCCGACCTATCCGCTTTCCCTGGAGCCAGGACAGGCCGGCTCCACACAAAACCTCCAACTAAAATGCAACAGTAAAGCAGCGATTTGACTGCAGTTGAATTATTAAAGGTTGATTATGATTATGATTGAAGGTTTAATATTTCGGTCAACTTTAAAATACAAAGCAGGGGGACAATATAGTCCTTTTGTTTGTAAGACAGCAGTGGGATTAATGGGATACACATTCATCTGTTTAATGGATCCATACATAGTATAGAATAAAAGCCAGTTCTGTAGACATCCAGTAAGTGCCTATTGAATGACCAAACATTTGCCTAGTTGCTTTTGTGTTCCTCTTTAATATTTCATTACTGTTTCCTTTACGGGGTGGGGAGAGGTGTTTTGTTGTGTAGTGTTGTGTTTTGTTTTGTTTTGTTTTGTTTTTGGCCTTTCTCATCTTTGATAAAATGAATAAGGGAAAGGTGTCTGAGCCTTGGGTACTGAGGATGTGGGCTACAGGTGGGATGGTGATGGCAAAGAACTAAAAGAGGAAGGGAAAACTGTGTTTTTCTCAGCATTTTCCCACATCGTTCTGCTTATACAGTATATAAATTCGTTACTTTTTTGTAATTCCAGTATAATATGATTGTCCCTGTCATTAACAATCAACTCAATTCTCCTTTAAAATGCCATCTTAACCATTAAGTATACAGTTTTTATGTACTATTCACATTGGTATGTTAAGCCTATTCACGTTGTTGTGAAACAGATCAGCATCTTTTCACTTTGCAAAACTGAAGCTCTACACCCATCAAGGGAGTGGTTACTTCATTTTTCCTTCCATCAATTTTTTAGGAGTGCTGGGAAATATGAACCCTGGGCTAAGCACACATGCTACCATTGAGCCACACCTGGAGCTCCTTATCAACCCGATTCTTAATGGCTATGTAACAATGATAGGTAAGTATGGCAGGCACTGTTCTAAGTGTTCTGTTTTGGTTTTGCTATACTGGGGATCAATTCTAGGGTCCTGCACATGCTAAAGCAAAGCTCTACCACTAGACCACCCCCTACCTAGTCTATTCTAAGTACATTGTATATATCATCACTCCCCACTACCACCCTTACTGGGAATTGAACCCATGGCACTCCACCACTGAGTTATATCCCCAGTTCTATCCCCAGTTCTTATATCCCCAGTTCTTTTTATTTTGAAACAAGGTCTCACTAAGCTGCTGAAACTGGCCTCAAACTTGTGATCCTCCTGCCTCAGCCTCCTGAATAGTTAGGATTACAAATGAACACCACCAGATATTATTCCATTTAAGCCAAAATAACTGTATGAATGAAGCATTATTATCATTATCATACAGATGAGAAATTTGCTCTAAGTTCACAGCAAATGGTAGAATTGGGATTTGCATCCAGTGTAGTTTGGAAATCCATGTTCTTAACCCTCCCAGCTTTACTACCTTTCCTAATTTGCTTAACCAGTCCCCTAACCTTGCACACTTTGATTGTTTTCAGTTTTATTATTATAAGTAACACAGCATTAAACATCTTTGTGTGTAACTGTCTCCCCCACCAAATTTAGTATTTTCCTGAGTGAATAGTATGAACATGACACCAAGTTGCTTTGTGAGAGGTGATTCAGTGGCATTTTCATACCATTCAAGAATGTTAGGACTTATTTGGCAGAAAATTGCTCAAGGTCACCCACTAGAAGACAATAACAGAGAACAGATGAAGAGCTGAGTCTTAGGATTCTAGTTTCCATTTCCCTCCATTCCTTCCCTTAACATTTAAAGATAGAATAAAACCAGAATCTTCCTTGTTAAACCAACCTCAGTTGACATTAGTATTGTCTCTGAGACTTCCTTTTTGAGGCAGGTAACTATGTGGGTTAACTTGATGGGACTCAGCCAAAACCTAAGAACTAAATAGAATAAGATGCTTAATGAGGCTGGTGCTCAAGTTAATCTCCTCCTCCTAGGCAAGCTCCCCACTTCAGGAAGGTAGAGCTGCCGCCAAGGACAAGGGAAAATGCCACGCAAGATAGAAGGCTTCTTGTTATTACTTCTCTTTGGCTATGAAGGTATGTGCGATTCAGCCATTGGCATGTTTAATAATACATAATAATACAATTTAATTTATAATATAGTTGATAAATAGAAATACAACCTGAATAATACAAAAATCACTAATTAACAACACATGTTCATTAAGGTGTTATTAATGAACAACAGTTGTCTTTGTGTTGAATATGATTGTCATTGTCTTGCCACTGGCTTGCTTCTGTTTTTTTTCTTTTTTGATACTGGGGATTGAACCCAGTGGTGCTTTGCCACTGAGCTACATCCCCAACCCTTTCTATTTTTTATTCCGAGACAGTCTCCCTAAATTATCGAGGCTGGCCTCAAACTTGCCATCTTCCTGCTTCAGCTTTCCAAGTTGCTGTGATTATAGGCGTGTGCCACCATGCCCAGCTTGTCTCTGGCTCTCTGGTTCTGTGAGGAGCCTTCTAAAGTTCAAAGGATGTTTAAAATCCAATAGAAAGAAGAAAAGCTCTCTTGGGTTGGGGCTGGGGCTCAGAGGTACAGTGCTCGCCTGGCATGTGTGAGGTGCTGGGTTTGATCCTCAGCACCACATAAAAATAAATAAGTGAAATGAAGGTATTGTGTCCAACTACAACTAAAATATAAATACTAAAAAAAAAGTAGAAAGGGTCTCAGATATTGTATAAAGTAGCTACAAATTGCAATGATTAATGAAAGGCATTCTATACTCTAGAATAGTTTTAGGAATCATAGTGTGATTTTAGAATTTTAATCTTCCAAACTGGTATGCTAGGGTAGAGGAGGATGCTATTAATAATTCTGCTGGGACAACAGGTGTAAACCAGGACTGTCCTGAGCAAATTGGGACGTAAGGTCACCCTAGTTTAAATATGGATTAACATAACCCGTCAAGTACCACTGGAATCTAATAAAAAGCATAATCCAACTGAGAGTTAAGAAACCCCAAAGACTCAGTACACTCCATCATTTTAAAATTTCTTAATGTAGCCCTGGTTGGGGTGATGTGCTTAAACAAGGAAAAAAAAAAAAGAACTAAAGTCAAGTCTCTAAAATGTCATCCAATTGAACTTTTAAATTCTCTCTCAATCTTAGAAATATTACTCTCATCTCTCTCTCAATTCTGAAGTAGCCATCCACTCAGAACTCCTTGTCGGGTTCATTTGGATAATAGAAACTGAATGTCTTCTTTGCAGTCATTGTGTATTTGCGAGTTTTATAGGAAATAAAGAAGGAGGGCAGAGAGGGGGAGATCCCTCTTCTCTGCAAGTGACCTGGTAGACAGACAAGATGAAACACACAAGAAGCATCGGGGATTCCTGGCTGACATTTTCCTTCCTACTCTTTCACTGTATTTTATTGATAGAGAATCCACTTTCATGAATCCCCAGTCTTGTGACTTTTGTTATTTAGTCACATTTCTCAGTATTTGGAAAGACTTGAGAAAACATAATCCCAAAGTCATTTTGAAAACCCCAAGATATATTTCTTTCTTTTTTTAAAATATTTTTTTAGTTGTTAGTGGGCCTTTATTTATTTTTATGTGGTGCTGAGAATCGAACCCAGTGCCTCACACATGCCAAGCAAGTGCTGTACCACTGAGCCACAGCCACAGCCCCCCAAAGATATATTTCTAAATAGGGATTGTTTTAACCAATTTTCTGTTGCAAGGGTTTTTCCTCCTTGCAATTCAGAGGCAGCAACTTGTTCCAATAACTTTCATTCCTTGGTACCTAGCATAAAACCTAGGGCTTTGTGCGTGCAAGGCAAATGCTCTACCACTGAGCTACATCCCCCTTGTCCCAGTAATTCTTAATGCTTTAAGATGCTTTGGGGATTTTGTTTTTCTTTTACTCCTCGCTCTTTGCTCAACAAGATCTGAGTCGAGGATTAGATCCAAATACTTAGGATTCTCAGACACACACGGGGCTCACCCTTAGATTTCTCCTTTTCATGGTTGGCATTGAGATTCATTTGTTTCTCTGTCCAAGAACCCATGCTTGAGTGTGTGTTGTGGGCAAACATTTTGAAAGAACTTGACATGCCGGGCGGATTCTTGTTGCTTTCACAGTGCTGAGTCTGACAACCCTGCTCCATGACCCCCAAATGCGAAGAAGTCCTCTAAAAGTTTACCAATACATTTTAAAATTAGGCCTTGATATCAATAAGAAAATGGGAGGCACAAAGATAACACTCCATCTCATTCTATTACTTACCAATTTTTATTCAGGGGTGGGGAACTCCAGAAATGTCCAGGAAGAGCAGAGATACCATCTGTCCAGGTGGAAGGGAATGCAGTCAGGTAGGAAGGCTTACCTACCTAACCCAGGCCCTCCATCCTCACACCACCTGGAAAGAAACCAGCCAGCCAAAAATGACCAGCATGGTTTGACAACTTCCCGTGTGCTCTCTCCTGAGCCAGAGGGATACTCCAGGAGACAGGAAAAATACAGGACACAATTACTGTCCTAAATCAGTTTAGAATCCAGATGGAGATATGGCCAACACACAGAGAAAAGATGTATTCCATTGCACAACTGGGAACCCAAAGACAACGATTCCTTATCTAATGTACTCTTTGCTGTTTCTGTTGTTCCACGGTGGTGGCTCCTTTATGTAGTGAAATGAGGTCAATGGATTGACTCTGCTTATGCACTGGATGAAGGTTCATTTGGGAATGCACACATCCTCATAGTAAGGCCCCATCTATATCATAGAACTGTCAGGATTCTTTTTATCTTCCATTGCACATTTTGGATTCTATGCCAATATGATTTTTAAAACATCTATCCTATTAAAACACATTAGTCCATGACTTGGTCATGCTTATTGTATAAAAACAACAACAAAGCTCTCCAGCTCCATCTTCCATATGAATGTGTCCCCTTTGCTGGTATGCCAGCCATCAGAAATTGCAGATTTTTGTGAAAAGCAGCTTTATTGAGATGTAATTTACATACCAGTAAAGTCATTCTTTTAGGGCTGGGGCTATAGCTCTGTGATAAAGTGCTTGTGTGAGGCACTGGGTTTGATTCTCAGCACCACATATAAATTAATAAAATAAAGGTCCATTGACAACTAAAAAAATATTTTTTAAAAACTTCATCCTTTGTAGGGTGTAATTCTATCATTTTTAATATGTTTACAGATTTGTGACACACACATTCTAATTTTAGATCATTTTCATCACCCCAAACATTAACCAATCACTCCCCAGTCTCCAATTTCCCCCAGCCTTTGGCAACCATAAATCTACTTTATGTCTCTAGACATTTGCCTCTTCTGGATATTACATTAAAATGGAATGGTGCGACATGTGGTCTTTTTGTCTTTTGCTTAGCATATGTCTTTAAGGTTCATATGTGTTGAAGCATGAACAATAATAGAATTACATATGAATATGCCTGTTGCTGAAAATAGTAACACATTCACACTAGGAGCAATTTCCTTCTTTCTTCTTCCCAAGAGGAACATTACTGCAGCTGACTGTGTTTCTCCTGTGTCTTATTCTTGTTTCTCAAGTAGAATAGAAGCTGGTTACAGACAGTTTTTATCATTCACAGTTTTATGCTTTTCTCCTTACTTTCGTGTTTCCATGGGAAAGGATGCTCTGTATTTAGTGATACCCAATCAAAGAAACTAAAATAGTCTATGTGTGTCTCTAAACGTACTCTTTTTTCCTTGCAAGGGATTTTTGGAGAAATAGGCATGCCTTTCTTTAATTTTCTTGCTGTGGGAACAAGACTTTCCCCAGTGGAGTGGCTCTTAGGGCAACAGGGTACAATGAGCTCATATTGTACAAATCAAAGATGGGCAAGTGGCAGATATCTCACATCATGTGGGAGAATCACAAAAACAATCGAGTAGGCAGAAAAATATGCAACT